ATCATCATCATCAGGAGGGTGAACAAAAGGATCCTCACTTCGAGGAGATTCGTCCCCAATGTCTTCCGCCTGGTGTTCATTGGGCTCAGCTTCCTGGAGTAGCTGATTGCGCAGTTCAGCGTGTCCTCCTTGAGCATTGACATAGGGGTACCACGCTGGGGCCTCTTGGTCATTCAAGGTCCATGGTCTCTTGGACCTGATAACTTGGCCTTGCATAAACATGATATGATCCGACGAGCCTTGTGCGACAGGGGCAGATGGTGGAATAAGGTGTCCAATATTCAGCTGGAATCCATGACCGTCATGCATTTCATGCGTGATCAAATTGTCAAGCTGCAGTTCATCCCATCGAAACGAAAGGTGGCAAACAGACGTTGCACATACATCTGTTAAATCCGCAGACTCTACAATCTGAAGACCAGAAACCTGCTCAGGAAGCGTGATAGCAACTGCGAAGGTTCTATGTCGGACGAAACTAGACTGAGTTACCGTCAAAAATCCTGCATGAAGACCTGGTTCTGTCTCTTGTGCCAGGATGATGTCTACATCTGCCCTACGATGTAGATACTGTCTATATGGATCAGGCTGGACCACAGTCAAGTGGAAAGGAATTCTTCTGTCAATCATGTCTCGCCAGGCATTAGCAATTTCATGGCTCCATCTGGACCAGTCATGGTCAAGCTCAACAAAGCGAGGCACTCTCCACCTCGGAAATGCTTGGTGGTGAAGATACCAAGTTCTTGCAGTGAAACCTTCCATCCAATTAACCCCTGCCTGAAATCCTGTGGCTTCAAATTGCGCGAAAATGTCTTGGACGAAATTCGGCACAGGTGGAGTTTCACCGGGTCCGTGATGCGGTTGCTGTGGTACATCAGGGTTCCTCGACGGACGTGAATATTCATTTTCCTGGTCTGTAAGTCCATCTTGCGGACCGGAGATCAACACGGCCTCATTGGACAGCGGATCAGCGTCGGCCGCGAATGTAACATTCTTTGGAACATTGCTTTTAGTGGTCTTCAAAATGGAACCCCAGGTAGGCCACTTAGGGAATGGATCTCGATGGGGCGGTAGAGAACCGTCCAACAGCAGGTTGTTTGAAACTTCATATTGCAAATCAATTGCACGCTTGATAGACACAAAAGATGGCATGAAACGCTCCTCCCATCTAATGCTGTGGCAAAGAATCAAACACATGGTGGAATGGTCTAAAGATGGTACATTGCTTGCTGCACACCATGCTTCATCCATGGCATAGGCCTCAACAATGGACCCGTCTCTCCAACCACTATCACATGGCGCATGAAGTGAATTCCGCAGACACTCAACTTCATCGCCACTGTTCACATGGAAGCTTCTGTCGCTCCAGTTGTGGGCACTATAGGCATAGCTTGATGCCCAAATGGCTCCAATGATCGCTGTCTTTTGGACTTGGGTGCTCCATCCACTCCATCGTCGTCTGAATCCATGATGTCGTGCACATCGCTGGGATTGACTATGGCTGCTGCTTGCTTCAAGCAATCCTGAACTTGCTTGGTCAGGGCCGCTTCCGTGGCTTCCAGTTCGCCAACTCCCTCCTCCAGCTCTTGGGTCTCTGGAGTTTCGGCTTTGGCACTGGACTGCAATCCCGCGAGCTTGTTGAGCGTCTGCAAATTCCTGCGTGCTGCAGACAATTCCGCCTTTGCTTTGTTGGTTTGCTCTATATATTGTTTCTGCTGTTCTTGAAAGCTTTTCATCTGACTTCCCCAAGCTGTAATGGAGTCTTTGAGGTGACGAAGCCATTGTTCCCTGTGTCTGCTTCGTGCTTCCCTCAGCTGATTCAATTGCTTGGTGGCCTTGTTGATCTGCGATGATGTGCGGTGCAGGTCTGCTCCAATCCTTTGTGAATTGGAAGCTTCCTCTTTTTCCACTGCTTCTCTCACCTCGATCGGGGCTTTCGTCATGTCCGGAAACTGCTTTCTCACAGCTATCAATAGGTCGCTTGCCGGCGTTTGCAAGGGACCCGTGGTCGAGCTTCCCAAGGAAGCTGTGCTTGCTTGAGCTCTGATCGCCGGCTGGCCTCCTGCAAAACCAGTGTCTGGCGAAGGCCATGGAGGGATGGCCATGGGGGTCGCAAACGGCGAAGGTTGCTGCTGTTCTTGCCCACCAGCAGCTCCCTTCCCTTTTCCCTTCTTTGAACGCAGGCTTTTGCTGCGTGAAGGTCTCTGCTTTTGTCGGCCCATTGCGGGCGATTCCCATTGATTCCAATGAGAAACCTCCTCCTCGGCATGCCAGGCATAGGCAGGTTGGGTACTGTGCCTCGTACCTGTTGTCCAGTGTCTCTTGCACTGTGGACAATGCACATGTGTTTTCTTGTTGAGCCTGTTGCATGGGCAACGCCATGGATAGGCATCCTCTGCATGATACTGAGCCATTGCACCAGAAATCTTGTGTAAAAAATTTCTGTCTCTGGAGTGATGTACTGTCAATGTCCTCTTGATCCAGCGGAGGCGATCTTTGGTCAGAAGAAGGTTCTTCTTGGAAAAATTGTGCCACAAGGCCCTGGCGACTGCTCTGTGCCTTCGCAGTCTCCTCCTCGTTGTGGCCGTAGACGTAATAGTTGATAAATGCAATTGCAAGCGAATAAATGATATAAAATCCAATTATTCGATGCATCCACCCGTTGCGGAAAGAGGAAAATAGATGCCAGAGAAAAGATCAATCCAGCACGCAATCCAAGTCCCCACAAAATTGCAAATTGAAATATCAAATCCCGATGGATACCAGGGCGAACCAGTTGAGTAGCCAAGGGAGAGATGAATCAAATTGTAAATTGAATCAGAAAAATTCCGGTGTAGGTCACCGCAGAACCAGAAAAAAGTGTAGGCCACTGCAGAGCCAGGGAGAAATAACAAGAAATGTAGGCCTGGGAAAATCACCAGCAAACAGACTTGTAAATCGATCCCACCAAATATAAAAAGAACTTGCCCGCGAAATTGAGAAAAGTTGAGCAGCTGGGAAAATCACCAGAATGCAGATCACCAATCCAAATCACAGCAGCAAGTAAGAACCAGGGTTTCCAGGATAACCCTTAACCTTAAGGCCAGTACAGAGAGACGAAGTCTCAGCAGTGATGTCCCGCGGGTTCAAAGAGAGCCCGCTAAGGCTATGGCGCAAGACCCCCAGAGAAATACGACAAAATCGGGGGGAATTTGAGCCAGCGCCTTATTGGAGGCACCTACCATAAAAAAAAAACCTGTTGCCCATGGGTCATTAAATGTCCCATTTTGGGAATATTGGACATCACCTTATAGTAGCCATTATAGACTAATATACCTAATGGTTGGGTGATGTTCAATGGTGACATTTAATGACCCATGTTGCCTATGTAAGGGAATATCCCAACAAAATATGGCCTTATAGCCAACCATGCAGCAACGTGTTTCTTATAACAAGGCCGCTAACAAAATAAAATCACCTTTCGGCAATGAAATTGGTGAATCTTACCTTAAAAAAGGCCCCAACGTTACTAGAACATAAAATGAAAAAAACACGTTTAACTAGGGGCTAAAAAGCCTCCCCATTTAATTTTGGGATAACCAAGGAGAGTCTTATATAGTACCTCAATTTTAGGATCCTGAATTCCCGTTGAATAAGTGTCCTAAGTGGGTGTTTCCAATCAAGGTGGTGCCCCAGTTCGGAATCGCTAAGTTGGTGCAAATAACTCCAATTTCACTATGGTTTATGGTAGATATAAACCAAAGAAATCACCAATTTATAAGTGGGGGGGCACCACCTTGCATTCAAACGGTGTTTTTTTTTTTTTGCCACTTTCTGATCTTACTCTGGTTTATGGTAGATATATGGTTATGGGAAGCATCAATACTATGGTAGATATATCTATACTTTGGTTATGGGAAGATATATCTATGCTTATATAGTTTATGGATATATTGACATACTATTCCTATGGTTTTTTCCACCAACGTTCACATCACTGAAGCACCAGCGACCATGGGATGGATGTAAGCGACTTGGCATCTCGGTATAGGATCAACCTTTTGGACCGGAGCGGCATATTCTGTTCATCCAATGAGCGTTTTGCTGTTCAAGGAATTAATAAGTAAAAATATTACATTTACCATTTGCAAATATGTAGTTGTAATTACTATCATTTACTATCATTAAAAATTTACTATCATTTATCATTTACCATGATTTACTCATTATCAGATCATCAAAATTATAGTTGGTCCATTTTTGTGCACGTATGAGTTGACCAGATAGTTCGAAAATAAAATAACATAATGACCAGCTGACAATCTGGTCAAGAATCATGATAGATAATTACCAAACTGGTTGGTGGTTTGGAACATTTTTTATTTTTCAATATATTGGGAATAATCATCCCAACTGACTTTCATATTTTTCAAGATGGTTGAAGCCACCAACCAGCAAATAATCTGATCATATCTGATAAAAATATCGACGGAAAACAAATTTCAAGTTTCGATCCAATCCCGGGACTGATGCCCAAATCATCATGGTCAATCTTTCGTAGAAAGAAAAACTCATCTTTTGCTGGTTATATCTGGTTATTTACCCAAAAAAATAGCACAAAACTAAAGGATGAGTTTCTACCCATCCGGTGGTTTATCTATTGTTTTAAGCACATTAGTTCCAATCCATTCCAGATAGTTTTCGAAAAAAAAATACCCTGAGCCATTAAATGTTCCCTGATTTATAGGTTAATGTAGGGAGTTATATTACCTAATTTCTTGGGGATTGTGGTCATTGAAGGGAAACATATCAACCAACTACTGGTAGTATTTCATGAGATATTTTTAATAGACGTTGATTGTATATATCTATATATATATTATATATATATACATACACACACACACCAGTACATACCAGATATAACATGCCCCTCTTCGATATAACCCCTTTAAAGGTATCATTATTTTTTTTTATTTTTTTAATGTCTCAATGGAACTTTTCGAGCCACGGTGTTCTTTCAGGTTCTAGAGATCCTGCGGGGCGTGAAGTTCAAAGAGCTCAAGGCCATTGGGGAAGCCATGGTCTAGTTCGATGATTTACTTATTAAGTTCATAAGTAAGCCATGGTTTAATAAGATAGTTGAACATGGTAACATGGTCTTATTAAACCATGGCTAGTTTCGATAAATTAGTTTGCTGATTTTCCAGTTCGCAAACTGTTGACCAAAGATGACCAAAGGTCAAAGATGGTCAAAGGGTAACCCACCGAATGGTCAATTTTGACAACGCCGCAACGATGGCACCCCTCAAAAACCCACAAGGATTCCTTTAAGCCGGGAAACTCAGAAAGTATAGGACCCCATTTAATGGGGGGTCAAGTTACCTATTATTAAACCAGCTATTAACCATCCATTAAACCCATATGACTGAGGAAATAAAGATCAATGACTACCAGCTATTGGAGGGTACAAAAACTGGGTCCTAGGTTTCTGATGGCCATATGGGGTTAACATAGAACCAATGGTGACGACGATCATGACTTAGGAATCCTCGCTAAATCAAATGAAAGCCCATTAAATCCGATTAAATCCCATTAGTTCACCGTTCAAATGCAGCATATTTCCTATCAATTTTTTGATTGGACACGCCCCCCTTTTGACTCTGGTGATTCTACCTATTCTACTTCCGAGCCTGCCAGGAGCATTCGGGTCCAGTGGTGTCCATTTCATCGCGATCCATGAATGAGGGAGGCGTCTTGTACACTGCCCGGGGGCACAGGACACAGCTTGGAAACGGGGTTGAAAGTGGACCTCAAAGCCTGGGTTGGGACCCAAGATGCTGAGATCTGTTGTTTTGGATACAAGGTGGTGCCCCCCCAGTTATGTTTGTTGGCTTATAATCCCCAGTAAGTATAGATATATCTAGCATAAACCATAGTGAAATTGGAGTTATGAACGCACCAACTTAGCTAACTATGGGGCACCACCTTGTAGGAAAAGTCATGTACTTGGGAATTCTGAAGGATGACAATGAGCATTCTCGTGGCAAGTCAACTCAATTTCTAAAGACTGTTTGCCAAGACAATAACCACCGAAAAAATGGGTGTGGTTTGGGTTTTCATAATTTCTGGGTCTGGGTGCAGTTCATACCTCTCTGGACAAGTGATATTTCTGTGTAAGTCTCGTTGGCTTAGGACTCTTTTTGGGTGATGTCCGACTGACACTCCAAAAACCCAGTTTCCATTGGAAGCCATGGTTCCTTGATCTGACTGGTGTAACTCATGGTAGCAGCGTTTCCTGATGTTTGAGGCAAAGACCCAACCCACCCAATGCAGAAATGTGTGTAGTTTCGACAAGAAGTGATACCCTCACTCATGGCTGGCTGGGAAATTTTCGTGGTCTAACTGGGCCACTTAGATGGGACAATTTCAATTGGCAGATGTCAAATGGTGCAAATGGTCAACCAACCCATAGGTTGAGAACTGGAAAGCCATCAATTTCCATTCAAAATCGTCTTCAACATGGCTTCTGCTGGATGCTAAAAACTCGGGAGTACTATATGCGGGTTTCTTAAACTTGGATCCTCAGTTGTCAGCACATAGGTTAAGCTATACTAGTCGTCATGGCCATGACCACTGGATGATTTGGGGATTTTCCCAGGACGGAAAAACCACCAGGTCAACCTTTCAACGGAGATCTCCAGGATCCAACAGATGTAGGTACTGTAATAAAGCCATATTTTGGGTGTACATCCCCTTACATAGCCCCAAAAATAGGCCAAACATACACCTATGCTAGGTACCTCCAAGAAAAAAGGTACCTGAGTCATGGCCATTGAACCTATTGAACCTTGAGAATTTTCCATCCTACCGGAGTGACCACTGAGGCCGCGATGGACAATACCATTCGGATGTGGGACGCAGCTTCTGGGCTAGGGTTGGCCTTCTTGGACTTGAATGGATGGGTAATGATTGGGTATCCCTGGCTATCCACACAGATTAAGCAGCTAATCATCATCCATTGAAATTTTAGATTTTTGGAATACCCAAATCAGCACCTATCATATCGCTATCATCAGCTATTGACCATCCGATGGGACTAGGGGAGCTTTCGCCGTATCAAAGATCAACAAGTATGTCCCATTCGAAGAATGTAACATTAATGACAAACAGAAAGATCAATACCATGCCATCATGTTAAGCTATGTTATTTTCATGACAATCTATGTTATTAATGACAGTCTATCAGTATCGACATGTCATCATAATCTCTACTCCTCAGGAAACCTTGGAATGCATCAAGTGCATCAAGGCCCGGGCCCGGCGGAATCCCGGTGGAAGCCCGTTCTCAACTCACCGTTAAAGGATGGCATCAGAAAGGATTGGTGATTACAGGGCTGTAACATGCTGTAACCATGAAACATATAGGAATACAATTTTTGTGAATACTGTTAATATACTTGATAAATATTGATAATGGGCTGATGCTGAGTTTTGGGATGAAAAACCTGTATTAATTGGGGACGATCACAATCCCCGTAAAATCCCGTTCTCAACCAATTTCCGGTTTTGAACACTGCTCACATGGAACCATATATGGAACCCCAAGCAATCTGGGTTTGGAAGAAGATTTTAGCTGCACTTGTCACTTGTGGCAATGTTTGACAGATCTTGACATGAAGAAGGATCAGGGGATACCATCTATTCATGGTATCACTTTTTCTTGCTGTAATCTGTGAGACTCAGAATGGCTAGCCGTGTTCGATCACTTTTCGCCTTCATCACCCGTAGATTCACTGAAGTGAAGTGGATATACATGGCTACGGGTCAAAATTTAAGACAAAAGGGACCACAGAGTTTCGTCCTTCCTACGAAGCATCCATTTGTTGGCAATTACCATCAATTACCACAATTTTGACCTATACTCACAAGATCTCACATGGGTATCAACATCAAGATTTTTTCATCTGGTTATTTTTCACGTAGGTTACTGGAAAATCTCCATTGAAATTTAGGTAAAATCTGTTGGTCATCGCCTCACTGGGACCTTAGCCCATGATTTCTGGGAGGTGACCTGAAAAAAATATGGACGAGATTCATATCCTATTGATAGCCATTGAATAGCCATTGAATATTCTGAATAGCCATTGAATATGTATTGAATATGCTGAATAAATCATCTTTTTTGAGGACTTTAGCAGCTTTAGCATAGTTGAGCCATGAATCTGATTACCTTTGGCTGCACGTCCAGGAAAAGAAGGAGGAGATCACTGCCATGATCTATTTGCCGCGTGCCAACGTCATTATCACAGGACTGATGACTAAAAAAAAATGCAAGAGAAAGATCCTTGAAACTTTGGTTAATATTAGTGTAGTGAATTCGATATATATATATATTACTTTACATTACTATACTTATATATATATATATCATTATATAAACAGTATTATATAGAAAAATATTATATATGTATTACTATATAGAATTTATATATACAATTATATATATACAATTAGATATGTATAATTATATATATAGTTATATATAATAATATATATAATACTATATATATACAATGATATATGGTATATATAATATATAAACCATAAATCATAGGTTCATAATACATTCATAACATACGCATAATGTACCATGATCATCTGCCACATGATCATCCCACCCGGACCGAGAACTGAGCCATAGAATAACTGGAATTTGATACAGCGCTAGTGATTTTAAATTATAGCATAATTAAAGCCCCCAAAAAAAGACAAAGAATATTAAAGCCCTAATTTTTTGATATATGAATTATCAAAACATATTAAAGCCCCAAATTGATATCAGTTCTTGTAGAATTATACATAGGGGGTCCCCCACAATGAATTACTATTTAAGTTGGTACCAACCTTAATAGAAACTTCTTTTGAGGGGCTACCCTCTGGCAGTTTAAGATAGCTATGGAAAATCACCATTTGAGCAGGCAAATCATCGAGCTTCAAAGGCCAAGGAGTTTTAAACCGTACAAGATGACCAATGATACCATCTTTAAGATGAACATTCACTTACCAGCTAGCATGTGTTTGAAAGGAAACATGTGCAATTCGAAATAGAACTTGTACAGAATTTTATGAGGGACCAAATTTCACAACGCTTCTACCACGGTGAGGTTTTGGAGTTATGTTGATTGGAAAAAAAACATGAACTGTAGATGAATCTTCCCCATAACCCCCCATAGCCCCCCTCACCTTGGACGGAACATTGATGTCGCATATCTGTTCGTCAACTGAGACACCAACTTATCCGACCTGCCCCCCCTTTAAGGGAGACCCCTATCTGTGTAAGATTTGGAATGCTTCAGTGGATGGCAAATAGTAAATGTATATAGACACACACCATAGTTTGGAACCATAGTTTCGGTAAATTTATGTACAATTGACATGTGCCATGGGCAAAAATGGGATTGTATACAAATTGTATAGCCATATCCTTGGATAGTCATCAATCCATTTATATAGGATTCCTATTATGGGATGAATTACCAAAGGCCCCATGAGCCCCATGTTTTGAAGGCATGGTGAACCGACCAACAATATTGGCATATCATGGTGTTTGGGATATGGCGTATGGAATTAATGGAATGCTAGAATTCTTTGACATTTCTTTGACAAGGTTTATCATTAACATCAGGAATTTGACATGTGTTGTGACATTTGTTTGACATTTGTTTAACACTGGTATTCCATATTATGGTCTATAGTTCCATAGTGTGGGCAACCCAATGCCATAAACCTACCATGACTGGGGATAGTTTATACCACCCATAAAAATAGTGATTTTGGGGATAGTTTATGGCATTGGTATGGCATTGGGTTTACCACATGAAACGTTGCTTTGCCAACGTTTACCACATTCCTGGCACGGCCACAGTACCCTGCAGCCGGCACCAGAGGACATGAGAATTCGGACCTGAAAATGTGGTCCTTGGACTGTCACTTGGCGCCAGGGGACACGCAAAAATCTACATCATATCAATGGCCTTTTCAGGAACATACAAGGTCTACGTAAGGGGATATACCCTCAAACTATGGCAAACATATACATATAATTGGGCCAACCTTGCTTAGATACTTTAGTAATTACTTTCATCTTTTGCTATCAATGGTCAAATGCAATAACACATTTTGTTTGTTGGCAGGTATCTAAGTTTCACCATGATAATGTGAATGTATGTATGGGTTTGTCTGTGCTTGCGGAGCAGCGTGAGCACCTGTTTTTCTTGGGCTAAAAGAAGCCTACGGCAGGAAAGTTGTTGTCGACCTACCGCAGGTGTGTCTGCATGTCATGTAGTGTACAGATACTACACTTGTTCATAGCCAAAAGGTCAGCTTTGAAAATCCCTTATGCACTCCCCCTTTGGCACGCTGCCAAACCTGTACTGGAGGGTGCACTTTTCAACTGCCTAGAGGCTTTGCTCTTGTCTGATGGCACAAAACGCCTAGTGGAGTAGCACCTTTAGTGCACTCACTTCCCTACGGCTACCATCAGATTTGGGTCGTAAAGACAAGACCCCTTGCCCGCCTAGTGGCCTTAAACACTAGGCCCTTGGAAAATTTCTACGGCCAGTCAGGCCCAAAGCTTCTCTCAGCTGTGCTCTTCATGGACGAACTCCTCTTCCGCGCTGTAGTCCGGATCGTCCTCATGGCGTTCTTCTTCTTCATTGCTTCCCATGCCATGTGCTGCAGGTCCGCCATCGTCATGGCCTGCATTTTCTTGGTCCTCTGTTGCTGGACCCTCTGCTGCATCATGACCTTCATGGTCTTCCTCAGGGATCACCTCGAGCTCCACCTCGACGTAGTCCCCATCATCACCATGTTCTTCTTCTTCTTCAACCTCCTCTTCATAGTTTTCTTCTTCATAGTTTTCCTCTTCAGGATCTGCTTCGGGGTCAGATCCTTCTTCATCTGCAGCTGCATCTGCATGAGCTCGGCTTGTTTTGCCTTTGCCCTTGGTCCGCAGGAAGTCGCGGTAGACCTCCAACCCCAGATTGGCAGCTCCTCTTCCCACTGGGGCTGCGCTTGAGCTCGAAGGTGCTGCGCTGGAGCTTGAAGCGCCAGTTGGCGGGTGTAGGATGGCCTCTGCATCCAGGTACTGGTTCACCGCCACGGCTGCCTCCTCATAGGCTGCTTCTGCCCCCTCGCTGCCATTCCCATGGGTGGCCACAGCGCTTTCCGCTCGCCGTACTGCGGCGGTGGCCTGGCGCAGCGACTGCGCCAGTTGCAGTTCGGCCGCTGGGTTTGCGCCCTTGCCTTGCAGGACGATGCGGCCCCCACTGCTTTTGCCCCCTTGGTTGGAGACGCGAAGGGCCCTTGGCTGCTTTCCCTTCGCATAGATGCGCTGCCATCCCGTCGTAGGGCTCGTCACGGAGTGGGTTATTGTGGAATCCTCACCCCTGGTGCCCTTGCCACGACGCTCCGGCCACCATCTGACCGTGTGGCCACGCCCCTTTCGGAGCTTCTGGGGCTCCCATGCAGAGCTCTTGCCGACCTGGAACTTGTTCTTCTTTCCAGTCAGCTCATCGGATCTTCTTTTCATCCGATACATGAACTCCTGGGTAGCCGTCCCTTCCACAGAGTCATCCTCATCGTCCTCGGCTTCAGGCTCAGGGCTTGCCCGGTCGTTGCGCCGTGGGTCATCTCTGTCCCCAGGGCCATCTCCACCTCCGGCACCACTCGCAGCCATCGCCCCATGTTGAGGGTCCCGCCGAAGTTGAGGACGAGCTTTAGGGCGTAAAGCCATCTGCTCGTTTTGATCCCTGTTGGTTTCATCGTACTGCACATCCTCCAGGATCTCAGCCTCTGATGTGCTCGACAGGGTTCTCGACGGTGAAGGCACCCTTGGTGTCGATGGCGGAGTTCCCCCACATATTGGTCCAGCGCTGGCCAACCTGAGGATTCTCTGTAGAAGAGATTCTCCAGCATCTTCTCCTCCACCTTGTTCTTGTTGTTGTTCAGGCGGCGGTGCAGGAACTTCTTGTCGAGGCGGACTTACCATCCTTGCTGGTGGTGGTGTCGGCATTCCGGCTTTTGCCCTTGACTTCGCCATTGCCATCGCCAAGTCATGCCGAACCACATCGCCCGGTGTGCGAAGATCCACTTCAGGGCCGCCACGCTGTCGTTCCAACCATGCCGTCGCTTCTGCCAGTTCTTCAGGAGACCTATATCTCACTGGCCCAAGATCCAGCGACATGCTTTGTTGCGCTGGTGCTTGCCCTTGTAGTCCTGGATGAAAGCCTTGAGGTCCTCTTGGAGGTCCTTGGTGTTGTTGCCCTCCACATCCAGGTGCAAACCCTTGTTGTCCGTGAGGTGCTTGTGGTCCATGGTGACCTTGTTGCACCCCTTGCCAACGAAAGCCAGGACAACATCCACCTCTCCAAACTCCAGCATATCCCTGCGGAGGTGGTGCCGGCAAATCCGGCTGTGGTGGTGGCATCCCGTGCTTTGGGTCCTTTTGGACCGTTTTGGCCCTTTTGTCTTGCGGCTGCTCTTCATCCTTGTTGGGCATCTCACACTGCCACGGAGGTGCTGGTGGCAACCTTTTCATCATCTGTTGCATCTGCACCCACTCCTCATCTGTAAGCGGTCCAGATGCCGATGTCGTTGTGCTCCTCAGAACTGCTTCTCTGGTTTCACCTCTTTCTTGTTGTAGAGCTCTGCGGGCAATTTCTCGCTCCAGCCATGACCTCCGCCGTGCTGCTTGGCGCAAGTTCTCATTCTTCTCCTTGCGCTCCTTGTCCCATTCCTCGTAAGAGAGGATTCTGCGGCCCGCTGCTTTCGCCTCCGCAAACTGCCTTTTCGTCTCTTCCTCGGCAGCTTTCCAATCCACCGAAGATGGTGACGGCGTCCTTGGCTGAGGTTCTTTGGGCTCCTCAGCGTTTGCTTCCTCAGGTTTTTTGGCTTCCTGAGGTTCTTCTGACGCTGGTAGTTCTTGTTGTCCCGAAGGTTCTGCAGCTGCTTGCCGTCTTTGTCGTTGTTGTTGGAGAAGTCGAAGGCGATCCATCCTTTCATTTCGGACCCTTCTGGCACTTTGCATCTCCTGGATGTCTTTCTCCAACTGCGTCACTTGTTTCTTCACTCGTACCCTGCGGTACTTCTTCGGCTTGGGTCCTTCTTGTTTCAGGACCTCACCTTTTTCAGCATCTCCAGGTCGTAGTGCTTCCCCATGTAGTTGATCTTCTCCTTGTTCAGATTTCCCAGCACCTAGTCCACTGCTTGAGGCTTGGCCTTCCTGCATCTGAACCGTCCGCACTGGTACTGCATCATCTCCTGAAGAGAAGCCCTTCTCATCGTCCAACACCACGCTCCTGATGCCCTCTTTTTCCTCATCCTGGGATGATTCCTCCACGCAGTGCACCTCATCATCTGGCACCCGTGACACTTGCGATGCCGGTCTCAACGTCACCAATGAGGGAACCGGTTTGAGACTCACCCTCTTCGGCTTTGGTTTCCCCGGGCATCTTTCAAATAATTGGCCAGGGACATCGCGGTCTAGTCGATCATCACGATCTTCTTGTCGACCACGATCACCTTGATCCTCTCCACCATCGCTCATCACCGCAAAGAAGCGCAGAGCCGGTGGAGGTTGTCCGGCTATGTTTGAACCAGGCCGCAACAAAGTCAAAACTGCAGCCCGTTCACCATCAAAACTTTGCAAATCACCGGCAACATGTCCCAACGAAGTTCCCTTTGTTGTAGTACTCATGTTTTGGGTTTCTAACGACATAGTGCTCCCTTTTGGGTAACCCTTTCTGTTTGGGGACATTTTTTGGATTACTGGCGCAACCCCGGAACCCTTACCTTTTCCACTCCAGCTGCTGTCCTCAAGTCGGTCTTGTTTGACCCTTTTGGTCCTCTTTTTGATCAAGCCCTTCGGGATGTCCATCAAATCCAAGCTCATCTCCCCCTCATCCGCGACCAATCGTGTCGATGCCGAAGTCACCGACGATCCCATGGCACCATCAGCGGATGAAAAAAGAGACATTGCCCGAAGTTGTGGTCCTTGACCTTGACCACCAGGATCATCATCTTCGACCAACTCGAAGCTGCCATCGCCTTCAGCATCCTCATCCAGCTGCGTAGTTGCTGCCGGTTGTGTGCTGCTCTGGCTGGAAGTGGCAGGTTGTTGAGGTTCTTCTGGAAGTCGCTGAAGAAACAACGTGTAGCCCGTCCAACCAGTCGTTTCCCAAGATTCAGACCAGTTGTCAGCCACTTCACTGCGTCTTCCATTTCCATGGATCACCGTGAGTCTCCTTCCCAAGAGATTGCCTGGAGCTCCTCGGTGAACTGGATGGAAGCTTCTCCTCCTTGATGTCCGGTGGTTTCGCATCACCACCCGATACCTCTTGCCAAAGAGCTCCACAACATCCATGTAGTGCCATCCATCTTGAACCCGTGGGGGTTGTGTGAACAGCCAGTTTTCTGCAACCCTTCGAAGACCCTCGTCAACTTCATTGTCAGTTGGTTCTCGTGGTGGAGCTCCTGGAGGTTGCCGTTGTGGATATCCTTGTTGGCCTGTTGAACTGCTAGAGGAAGCACCTTGTTGTTGTTCACGTTGAACTGCTTGGTGAATGCTCCCCCGTTCAGCAGCGACTGCTCTTTGGAAGGCTTCTGCACGTTGTTTTGGTTGTGCCTCTTCTGCCCTCCTCTTCGGTCTTGCCTTAGGCAATGCTGCCTTAGGCGCATGTTGTTGCATCCATTGCACTGGAGGAGCTTTGTAGTTGGGAGGTACCTGTCCAAGGTGTCGTAGATAGGCATTGCCGTGAGGGTCCCCATGCGGGAATGGCACCCCAGGGTCTGCCTCTGAGTCATCATCTTCGATGGGATCATCAGGATCACCCTCATATCGAAGTGCGCTCACTCTTGGCACCTCAGGCACTGATTGCAACCTTCCAGTCACATGCACTGATTGCTCCTGCAGAGCACCTTTTGGTGG